TATAGTAGTAGTAGTAGTAGTAGTAGTAGTAGTAGTAGTAGTAGTAGTAGTAGTAGTAGTAGTAGTGGTAGTAGTAGTAGTAGTAGTAGTAGTAGTAGTAGTACGTGCTCATTCCAGATCCTATCTTTTGTTAAAACGTTATCGCTATTCCGTTTTATGGTAGTACTCGACATGGCTTCCGGCAAGGGTGGGCCTCCCGGTGCTATGGATGACCAAATAACCCTATTGGACGGTAATATCCAGCTTACCATCATTGTGTTATCGAGCTCCTAGCAGTAGTGTTAGTATTACTGTCTTTATACCCAGTGTTGGTTATTCACAACCGCCAATTCGCTATCGATTTATAGGTCAAAGAGCGGCGGCATCGTTATTGGAAGTGAACAGTGGACCAGTGAGTGAAGGAGCGATGGAAGAGGGTGCGTCATCGGAGTTATCGGCCCTGCTATTGAGGTTGCCGCCCTCAGCAACGGTCACGGATACCGTCGGCGACTGGGGGCAAAGTAAATACCCTCGCTGGGATTCGAACCGGGGACCTTCGTAATTAGCAGATTTTCATTACTGGCTCTGTGTCAGGTAGCACCTATTCTCGATGTGCACAACCTATCGCTTCAGCGGCAGCGTTGGTCGTCGAGTCGGACTATATCCGAAGTCTTGTGCGGTTCCTCGCAGTATGTGTTGTAGCGGCTTCGTATAGTCGGTTTTTGGCTGCCTATTGTGGGGTAGGTCAAGTCAGGGAAATCTAGACTGTGCGTGTGGGGAATCTTGTGGTATCTTTCTTTTTTCCTTCACTTGATATCATCTGGTAGTAGCATGATCAGCTAAATAGGGTTAAGCTTTCGATCCCTCCTATGTGGTTGTTGTTCAATGGAGTTTCACCAGTTTTATGTGAAGTGGCGTAATACTCTTTGAAAACCGCGATATTCGCGGTGATATGCAGTTGTCGTGAAAAATTTTTTCCATATCACTAGGGTGGTGAAAGTCCAATGGTGATCTCGATTATTCTCTCGATGCGATCAGCGAGTCGGTGATGAGTTATTCGCGGCTTTCTGGTTAGAATTCCGAGTGGTGGTTTTGGTGGTCGTTTCGGACGGAATTTCTCTTCCAATCGGAGCTTGTTTTCTCCCCATGAGAGGGTTGATTATTGTCAGATTCCTCAGAAGATAAACCGTCCATGGCAGCATTGGATGTTTACATTGGTGGTAGCCTTCTGTGGTGCGACGGCGATCCATAGGATATGTCGTCCCAGCAGACTGTGGGTGACTGCTGCTACGCCCTTTGTAAGAGCATTTGTGCTATCAATGGTTGGTTGATAGCATGCTACCTTACTTAGCATGGTGTGTGCTTGCAGTGAATTAGGGCTATCCTCTGGGTTCACGTAGGAAACCTTGACTACTAGTGAGCTTTAGTATTACCGCTATGGATGGTAGACGGAATTAGAGTAGATTTGAAATGCAGTAGTGACGCCCTCACTCACGGGATCGATTTTTGTTTCTTTGATCAGTTTCGCTCCGCTAGGATGTTTGTATGTTTTCAGGTTTACTCTCTGATTCAGATGGTTGTGGGGGCGATCCCTCTGACTGCAGACACGGATTATATGAAAAGCGCGCCGGCACTGGGGCTGGCGACCATTGTTGTGGCGGTAATCGAAAGGTCGTGAGTTCGATCCCTGGGGATGGCATTTTTTCAGGCCTCTTCGTTGGGAATACTCATGACTCGATACGCCTATTATCACGTCGACTGCGTGGGTCGGCTAATGATGGGAATTGTCTTTCTCATCTTCCTGTGGTTGAGAACACCACCTGGATATAGCTTCCATGTAGTGGGTGAAGAGGCCCCGGGTTCGATCCGCGGCGACGGCATTTTGAAATGTACAATTGATAGTCTCTCTTTAACGTATTGAGTCGTGGAAGGTTAGCGCAGGAGAAGATATACATAGTCAACTACATGTGTCGGGGATAATTTGAAATCCTGAGGAAGTTTCGGTACATTCTTATTAGTGTCTGATCATCTCTACCCGAATTTTTCATAAGCTCTTGTGATTAGTGAGGAAACTCCTGAGCTCAGCTGAGGAAACCGAACATATGTTGCATGAATAACAAGACAACTATGGAGGGTTGGACTTGGTTTTTTTCCTGCAGTTACATCATTACCTCCACTGCACGCTGTTGGCGTTGGCATTTGGTAGAGTAAAAGGAGACGAAGCCGTGCCGGCTATCGCACAAGCTATTCTGATTGGTATGGCACTACAAGGGGCAGCAGTGTGGGGTACGGACTCGCTATATGACGAGAAGGTCAAGGCGTAGCTCGAAGTTATTTGGGAAAGGAGTGGTATGGCGACGGTGAACTCAGCGTTCGGTTATTTTGGTTGACGATGCTCTTGTCGGACGATTCGGTTTATGAAAAGGCTGGCTTAGCGGAGCGAAGCGCCTTTTGTTGTCCGAGTGAAGTTATCTCTGGTTCAACTGATGTGAGTCGCTAAAGTCGATTTCCACAGCTGCCAATTCCTTGATTGATATATAATGATACGTTTGCGCACAGCGAAGATTTTCGTGATTGTAGATTGTCTGACACTAAGTTGATGGGCAGCTGTGTGTCAGTTGGAGCCACATTCTATAATGTGTATCGTCGACAGTAGCGGCTGAGTATTTTGTACATGCGTGTTCCATACCACTCCATCATCACATCGTCCAAACACATTGCTTATTTCTTTGTCACATAGTATTATACGAAACCGTCACGCGCCACGAAATTGCTCTAATATCAGCATTTCCGCGTGGTGTGGTATTCAAGTTGGTATTACCTTGTCCTGTCTGTTGTGTGAGTGGAAGCGGGTTAATGGGAGAGGCTGGTGGTCAGCATAGGGAAGGTCAACTACATGTGCTGGTGAGTTACCAGAATCGTTGTTGGTTTCTGTTTAATTCTAAGAGAATTTTCATGTGCGCATCTGTACTACTGAGGACATTCAAACACTGGTTGTCGTTTTCACGGTATTGGTGTTAATCGTATCCTAGTGTCGGCCATGACGGCATCTGTCGGATCTTCCTTGGGCGCATGTGGTTCACTTCACATGATTTTGGCGACTAGGAACAGCGGGATAGTGGTTGGAGAATCTGATGGAAAAGGAGGCAAAGTTTGGCCGTACATCGTTCACAACGATCTCACTGCGATGGAGAGAGCGTTATGGCTCAAGTTTAGCGGTTAGTCCAGCAAATCTGCAGTTTCCCTTTTTTCTTCTTCTTGGAATGGGGGTGAGTCCATCGGTGTTGCAAGCGGCAGAGCTGACGTACGCGTCTTATAGAGCGGATCTTTCGGTCGCTGAAGTTGTCTATGCTGAGGAAGTAGCGTTGGCATTGGCGATGTAATAAAAGTTTTTATCGGTAGGAAGACGGAGCGTCGTTTTTAGGTACCAATACGAGGCTCAAGAGGAAGTGAGACGGATCGCGCGGAGCTACGCCTCGTTGAGCGATTATGACACGCAGGAGATATGCCGGGTTGCGGGCTTCGGGAGTACCGGTGAATTCGCTGTAGGTCGTTTTGTGTGGAAGGAGTGGTAGGGGAATGCATTCCCTGATTTGGATTGGATTGGTGTATGCGGGGAAATATGATGTTGTTTGAGTTGAGAGTCGTATTGGTTCGATTGCGACTGTCATTTTTTTCGAGGCAGAAAAAATTCAGTGAAAATTTTGCTAGTAATTTCCTAATTAGAATTGTAAGGTCCTCGTTTTTCGTCAAGATACGCATAGCAAAGGGAATACACCAAAATATGGAGTTCCTTAGGCAAATCTTGCCAATGCTGCATGAGCCTGCGCAGAAGGTCAACACACCGCTCCACTACAGAGTAAAATCGATCATGTGATCGATTTGGACATACTCCTATTTAGGTACGACTGCTGTTGTCTGAGTTGACAAGAGATTGGAGTGCTGAGGGTGAGGAGGAGAGGGAGCAAAGTTATGCCCCCTTGGTTAAGGAACTACCTAGTGAGCGTAAGATTGCAAGATTCATCTTGATTTTCAAGACTCATTTCAGGGTGCAGCGTTTTGGTACCGGGATGTGGTACTGGTAGATTAGTGTACGATGTGGCTGTACTCGGTCACGATGTAGAAGCGAATGATTTCGACGTCATGAAGCTCGCGGCTGCTAATGCTGTGATCAGCGGGTATGGTTGGTATAGTGAGGGGCTGTCCTTAGTGATGATCGTAGGTCTGGTCCGATAGTGATTGAGCCATATTGTTTGGATACTTGCAACAGGATGAAGAGAGACGACCACATTAGAACGGTATTGGGGTTCAGGCGACAGCTGTGGTGGAATACGTTTTGCGTATCTTGGGGTGGTCATGGATAGTTAGATTGATTACTTGTCGAAATTGGCGTTCCTTTCCGAAAAGACGAGTCGAGTCAGGCAGTTCATCGTTCGCAGGTCACTCTGCCGGATTGTGAGATCGACAAGAATGCTCTCAGTCGAGTAAGCGTCAATGGTTTCGAGTTCACAGAGGTAGTAGGATGGGGAGAGATAGTTGGTAAGCAATGGGAAATAGTGGATCAGGCATATGGCTCGGCAGAGAAGCATGAGGCCTTTGATATTGTTCTGACGGCAGCCTTCGTGGACACTGCACCGAACGTGTTTGCGTACATCAAGACCATCGCGAATGTGTTGAAGTAAGGGTCGTGGGTTCGATCCCGGGCAACGGCATGTTATGCATTGTGATAGGCCTGGTGGGAGGTGGGTTAACACGGGTCCATTGGGATGGCTGTACGATGGAGACCGGTTCAATGCGGGTCGCGATGGTACGTCTTCTATTTATCACGCCTATTGGTAGCTGACCCTGACTTCAATATGTGGTTAGTAGTGCACAAGTTCTGCATCGAATAGTGTCTAGAATACGATCCAGAGTACATCACGACTAGGGATATACTACTATACTTACTATAATTGAGATCACTTTACTACTAGGGGTTGGTAGAATCTAAGCACAACTCGGTGATGGTATCGGCGTAGTGTTGTGAGGTTGATTATTGCAATGTGATTGTTAAGTTGGCATCGCCGTTGGCGATGCTGATTCTCACTGCATTGGTTTTTCATGTACTGTGTTAA